CCGTGTTTCGGCGATCTCTAAAAATGCCGCCGCCGATATAACCCGTCCCTCCCCAACGTAATGTCACCCACGTGAAAATAGATGCACAAAATTTGTTGGAGAACGTTGTCACGATATGGGTCTCATTTACCCTACCACCGGTACGCGCCGCACTCGCAGTGTAATGTGCCCAATAATTCTCTCGCGCGGGAACGATAATGGGCGGTCCGAAATTTGATCGGGCAACGCAGTTGCGAGGGATCGGACGTCGTTTTGGATGCGGCGCCAAAAATTATTCAAAAATGTGGAAAAATAAAAAATTATATATATTTTTATTTTATAAAGGACTTGGACTTGGGACTTGGGCTTGGGCTTGGGACTTGGGCTTGAGGCTTGTGGCCTGGGGCCGGGTACTGTGGGTCGTTGTCGGTCGGCGACGCTCAGAAATCAATGAGTCGTGGGTCACCTTTTTTTCTAGGCAAAATCTCACGTGCAAATGCTGAGTCAAAATGATCCCCATCACACAAGGAAGCCTCCCGAGAAGTTTCAAGGCCATCCGAGTCGGTCGCCCGGCGGTCGACCGAGTGGATCGCCGTCCATCAAAAATCAATGAGTCGTGGGTCAAATTTTTTTCTAGGCAGAATCTCACGTGCATGTGATGGGTCAAAATGATCCCTATGACACAAGGAAGCCTCCCGAGAAGTTTCAAGGCCATCAGAGTCGGTAGCCCGGCGGTCGACCACGTGGATCGCCGCCCATCAAAAATCAATGAGTCGTGGGTCAAATTTTTTTCTAGGCAAAATCTCACGTGCATGTGATGGGTCAAAATGAAGCCTATGACACAAGGAAGCCTCCCAAGAAGTTTCAAGGCCATCCGAGTCGGTCGCCCGGTGGTCGACCACGTGGATCGCCGTCCAGCCAAAATCAATCACCCATGGGTCAACTTTTTTTCTAGGCAGAATCTCACGTGCATGTGATGGGTCAAAATGAAGCCTATGACACAAGGAAGCCTCACGAGAAGTTTCAAGGCCATCCGAGTCGGTCGCCCGGCGGTCGACCGCGTGGATCGCCGTCCACCCAAAATCAATGAGTCGTGGGTGAACTTTTTTTCTATGCAAAATCTCACGTGCATATGATGGGTCAAGATGAAGCCTATGACACAAGGAAGCCTCCCAAGAAGTTTCAAGGCAATCCGACTTGCGCGCGGCCAAATCATCGATGGACGACGACATGGATCGCCGTCGCTTCCCGATACGTCTCGGCGGTCGCTCGTGCCGATCCTAAGTTCCGCGTCAACGGTGCACAAGTGCCACAAGTCACGCGATCGTTCAATTTGCTCAAAGTAAATACACCCGTGCTGTAAGTTAGCGCATACCAAACGTCAACATGGGCGGCGTGGGCAAAGGACGGAATGATTCTTGTGGCCAAAGGAGGCGTCAAGGGAATACAAATTATTCTTTGTTTTTCGAAACTTAGCAAGTCATTGAGAAGAAAGTAGGGTGGTTATTTTTTCAAGACAACTGCTTCTTTACGCGCAAAAAATGTCTGCGTCCCAAGTAAGGTCCCGTCCGGTCAGTGACGACATCCCGGACGGTCGGTGCAAGGCATAAATCAATGCGTCGTGGTCGCGGCCAAATCCCACGTGCATATGCCGGGTCAAAATGAAGCCTATTATAAGAGGAAGCCCCACAAGAAGTTCCAAGGCAATCCGACCTGGTCGCGGCCAAATCCTTGACGGTCGACGACGTGGATCGCCGACCGTCGGCGCAGTGCAAAAATCAATCACGCACGGGTGAACTTTTTTTCTGCTCAAAATCTCACGTGCATATGCCGGGTCAAAATGAAGCCTATGACAAAAGGAAGCCTCACAAG